GGACAAGCGGGACACCACATTAAAGCATTGAAACCAGCCGTCATCATTAATCATGAACCAAAACAAATTCACATCTGTCCAAAATGTACGAAAACAACTCTTGGTTCATTCAGTTCTTGCTAATTCAACCTATTTCATGTTGAATAAGTGACATCATCAGGCCGTGACACAATCAAGCAGGCGTTTCAACTGCCGATGATGACAGACAAATTTTTTGGTCATGATTAATAAATCAACACACATTTCGTATTGAAGTGTCAACATAAGTCACATGCAACAAACATTTTCTACTTTTCAGAAGAAATTAATGATATGATCGTTATTTCTTGTAAAGGGTCGCCAAAACAAGTGGACGAATCACAAACAGAAGTGAAAAACATGGTCATGAGCGACAGTACATTAAACTACACAGAAAGCAAGAAGGCATAATCTGTGCCATTCTATCTGATTTTCAGCTTTCAACATTCATTAAAAATATACTTGTACTGGAAGAGCGACAAAAATCTGTATGTAATACATACTTGTTAGTGGCAAATACGTAATGACTACACAAAAACACCTCAAAGTAAGCAACACTCAAGACGTACTTTAAAGCCTACAGTAACATCCCACTTAATGGTACCTGCACCTCGTCATGGTGGTGGGGCTTGAGTACTTCAGTGACCCAAAGAGCTACTGGAAGGGCCTCCCTAGCCAGATTGGTCGAGGGGGAGAGGTCAAACTAAGACAGGTACCCTGGTCCTCCAGGTTGGGGGTTGGTCGCAAGGCTAACAACCTTGCACCGTAAAAAGGAAGATGTTTCGAAACCTCACTCAAAGCCTCGACAGACGGACCTAACAGAGGACCGCATGGAAGAGGAAGAGGAGGAAGAAGGAGGAGGAGGAGTAGGAGGAAGATGAGGAGGAGGAGAAGGAGGAGGAAAAGGAGGAGGAGAAGTAGAAGGAGGAGGAGAAGTAGAAGGAGGAGGAGAAGAAGTAGGAGGAAGAGGAGAAGGAGGAGGAGAAGGGGAAGGGGAAGAAGAAGAAAGATGGAGGAGGAGGAGAACCCCATTTGCTTCAGATACTGCACATTTTATCAATCCAAACAGATAACAGTACGATCGTAGAATGTAACCAGAAGCAAAAGTCTGAGTGGTATCGATGATTCTCCACGTAACCGATGTTAAACATGTTATAAATCAAAGTAATACTGGAATAAAATTTCCATCACGTAACTCACGATGGTTCTCTTGCGAAGTCGAACTTTGCGCCTGCGGAGCGAACCATTCCGAGAACCAGAGCATTCTGCGGCGAGCATTGCGGCTTCGTCGATTGTCGTTGACGAGAGATTAACGCCGGACCCACTCTTGCCCGTAGGTGGCGTGGCTGTAATCATCTGATGCAAGGCCGACTCTGAGATTGAGAAGTGAGCGAGAGGTTCGCTTTTTGCCTGTGGTGTGCTGCCTCCCAGCTGGGAAACGCCAGAAACACTCCATGGACGCTCTCCAGTAACTTGTCGACGTTTACTTCTTAATACAACCTGAGACACGGAACACGAAATTGTTGGTTACAGAAATGCAGTATTCATCTGCTAACTAAAGCTAATTCTATTCTTCTGGCACTGGTAGGAAGACGTCAGATACAAATATGAAAAATGTAATCATTCAAACAATTCTTCCATTTAGTTACTCAGCAGAAAAACGTAACTGTTTGGTTCATTTTCACTAATAATAAATTTACGTATAAGATTTCCACTCGCCATTATTAATTTTTATATTAAATCCGCAATGAACGAGAGTGAAAAACTATAAAAAAAAAGTGAAAATAGAAAGTCGTGTTAACACACTATCTATAGTTTTGTTAGACCTCAAAGCGCTGTACTCGTAAAACAGAATTACTATATATATTTTCAAAGTTTTTAAAATTTTGTAACACACGATTTTTAACAATTTAATATTATCAACATAAAATACACATATAAGAATAATGTTTAAATAACCAAATTTAAGTAACATAATGTTTAATCTCCTTAATTTAAATGCCATATAAATTGTTTCTTACGCAGAAAAATTAATATTACAAGTACGTTCGGTAATATTCATCGCTTACTTTGGTAATACTGTGTTCAGGCGAGAGGGGCAGGGTTCGCTCAGCGACGGGAGTCGTCTCTGGGTCAGGTACAGCCTCGGCCGAAGCGCTAAAGCCACCGACGAGCTGCCGACAAGTGGCGACGCTGCCATTGAACTCGTCTGAAGACTGTGATTCCTTCTCTTCATCAGAGTCACCTGTCGTGTATTCGCCACTCGCATCGCAACTGTCCGCAGGCTGAAATCAAATTCACACGCCACAACAGAAATGATCATCCTGTCAAGAACTAAAAAAGTATACGCAAAATCACAGTAAAACACGTGGCGTTGCAAGAAAACGAACGAGAATAACTGACAAAAAGTAATATCGAGTGCATTAGGGCTACTTGGGGAGGGGGAGGGGGGGTACGTTCCCGAAATCTATGTTCACCTTTCCAAAGGAACGTGTCAATTAATGAACCACAGGAAACTTTGAATCACGTAAACACACAATGGACTTGATCATGATGCCAAACAGTTCTTTCTGACGTTCACAGATGGCAGTTGTGTCTGTGGCACTTTACCGCGTAATTCCTTTTGAAATACACATCGGGAATTCCCCTTCCAATGTTTTCTTGGGTGCAATGCAAGGTGCTTTGACGAATATTACGACACGCAAAATAAAATTAAGAATGCAAAGGCTGTGTGAACGAGTAGTAGAAAAACAGGACGTAAAGTAAAGGGAAGTCTTATTTTAAGGTTTCAAGGACATAAATTACGCCATTCTTATAAGCAAAAAATGTATTTTGTCCCACATTAGGGGCCATGTATGCGGTGGCCATACTCATTAACCGAGGACGCGGAACTGGCCCTTTACATACAAATTTGCAACAGGAAACAAAAATGTCCTTGTCGGTACAACATTAATCCTTACACAATTAAAGGATAATTACACGTGAATAAGTGACCTCTGTAAATGAACTTGCACATTAAAATTCACTTTGAAATTTCCTTTCATTACTATCGCCATCGTCTATAAATATCGGAAATGCCGTAAGTATTTGAGTGATATATAAATTAGTAAGATGAATTCTACCAAAAGAGAGACACAAGAGTGAAAGAGAGACAGACAGACGCACCTAAGTATTTTAATACGAAAAACATATTCAACAAGAAATTTGATTGCATACACCAAAAGGCACAAAACGATGCAGACTAAAGAAAAATAAGACAAAAATCTAAATGAGGATGAATAAGTCTGAAAGAATTACCTGCAACAGAGACTTTGCATCAGCTTTAAGCCACTGCTTGATGCTAGCATATTTGGCTCGAGAACTAACAGACACATTCCCTTCACTATCGAACACAAATGGTTCGAACTCCCTAGCGGCTCTCGCAGCTGCAGCCATCTTCTCTGGTGATGCATCCTCCCGAACCATCTCTTCCGCCTGACTGACCAGTCTATTTATAGTTTCCAGGCTATTCCTTCTATACAGCCTTCCCGGAGAACCTGCAATGTCACCTTTGTTGCTGGAGACATGTTTCCCATTCACTTCACTGTCCACATCACTGCTGTTAACTGCACTTCCAAAGTCCAATCTCTTCTTTATACCACCGTGTTTTCTGACAGAAGAAGTTGTTTCTGACGAAGACCCTGAACCATACGTCGTTCCATTCATTCTAACAGGAGATGCGCTTCCCGGTTTATAAGTCCATTCATCAGCAGATGAGTCCTCAACAGACTTCATGTCCGCGAGTCTCTCTGGCTCTGATCTACTGACGGCCTGATCAGAATCCGTGTCACTGTGCTTCATGTAAAAGGTGGCAAGATTTCGACCGTTACGGTTAGACGTATTGAATCTCGAAATGTCTTCCCCAAAATAGCTCATCTCTGGCAAACCTGTCCCAAGGCTACCAAACGTAGTCATCCTTTCACGTGCTACTCCCTCCTTATGTCCACTGTAACGATTTTCGTCGATATCAATGGCGCCAATTTTTCCTTCTCTGCTTTCGGTCTCACCTTCGTGCATCGTCATTTCACTATTCGGAGCGATGGCAGCGGAACACATCCTTTGATGATTATGAGGATTATTTACGTCACTTGAGGGGACAATCATGATAACAGACGGATCTGCTTCCTCAGAGAAGCAATCTCCTGCGGCCTGCTCTCCCTCAGTGTCACCAGGAATTCGAATTAATGATTCCGCAGATGGTGGACTTGTGTCCATCACACACAGCTCTTCCAAATCATCCTGCAGTCATAATAGAGAGATTTTGTCAAGAAAATAAAAGAATTAGGCTCAAACCTAAATGTTTTTTATTTAACTACAGATAGACAAACAGACAAGGATGGAAGGATCCTGATCATATGGACCTGTCGTCAGACAGAACACTAAATAAATAATATAATAGACAAACAGACAAAACTAAAACCTAATACAATATGAACAACGGGCAATGAGCTGAAATTTCAGTTGTCTCCACAGACTCGTGAAGAAGGCACAACGCACTCACCTCGAAGTACGACCCGTCGTCCGTCAGTCTGTCACTATGGTTGTCGCCGCTAAGTCTCGGTGCTTTACTCACTGGTTCCTCGTCACTATCTGACACCTGCACCCCTGTCGGGCTCTGCAACATACAACACAGAAGCAATGCACTAACAAACTGTTCATGTGCTTTACCCGTTGGAGACAAGCGTTAACTTTACGTTAGGTTCCAAGGTGCAACTCGGCACTTTATATTTAAAGGTTTCATATGATTCACAGAATAAACAGACATTATTTTCTCAAACAGCAATAACTAGTTGATATTTGTAATAGTGATGCGTTATTTTCTTCGCGGTACGATCTGAATTATTAAATACTTCGAAGAGGTTGGCTATGCTACACCAAAGAACACAATACATCTCCGTTACAATGATCAACTGGTACGTCACTGAAGGCAATGCATTGCAAAAACGCAAAATTATTTCCTTGTATTTCGTTAAATATTAACAATATCATTTTCAAAAGAGCTCTTTTTGATATGTGTAATGCTAACAACTGCCCGATACTCAACAAAACAAAACGCTCTCACCCAATCAAAGACGAAATTGCACTACTAACATGACCACTGTGCGTTTGCCACTAACATAACCGACTGACTGTCCACGGAACAAAGACAATTATTAAGAAGCTAACAGTTGCTCGCCCATTCACACAAAAAATTCCACTTATTTCATTGAGCCCGACGGTATCAGATTAATCCAATCCACATCGTACTTTCTCCCATATTATTAAGATCCATTTTAATATTATCCTCCCATTAGCGCTTACATCTTCTATGGAATTTCCATTTCCGGATTTAAGACCAATATTTTGTAACCATTTATGATTTCTTTCATTCCCCCATCATCTGATCGTCCCTGATTTGATCGTATTAATAATGTTTTTTGTAGAGCACAAATTATATATCTCATCAGTTTGCAACTGTCTCCAGCCTTCTGTCAGTTCATCCTCTTTGGTCCAAATGTACTTTGTGGAAAGAACCCATGCGGGTGGTTATAAGGTCCAAACAGGGAGGACAGGGACAAGGGTTGTAGAAAATAATACCACACATAACTGTTACTTCCAAACCCAAGGGGTGACTTAAAAGACATAACAATGGGGCATCCTCCCTTATGCAAGCAATAGACGTCTGTCCATGTTTTCAAATCTGACACATCGGCAGGGAATCCGGAGGGGCTTACCCGGAGAAAGAGGGCCAGCAAAGTGTTTTCATTTTATGAATTACTTGCTACCCCCTGGAGCGACTACAAGACCGCTACTTGCTTTCTGAAACACGTGATTCAATCACTGAAGCCACACAAGCAGCGCGGCGGGACACGAATATGATTTAACACTTGTCCAAGGGGCATGCGACTTCCCTTGGGAATTCTAAACACACTGCTATGAAAACGTCTTCAGCCCTTCGGCGAGGTTACCTTTCCTTATTTTCTTCTTCCTGGCTTACTCAACAGTGTTTGAATTATGCTTTATAGAGCAGTTATTTTAAAATTCAAATCTTTTTCCCAAATCACTGAACTGCATAAGGCGTAAAGCTTTCAAGGTGACTACAGTGAGAAAAGCCTTCTTGAGCGAACGACCGCGTAAATTAAGATCAGAAATAAATCGCTGTATGAAAAAGGAATTTCCTCGCCTCATCAAATGCATTAATCATTTAATTGTAGGGACCTAGTATCAATCTTCGTAGTTAATATTTTTGACACAGATAAATCGACAGGAAATACTGAAAGATTGTATTGTTAAAAGTTTGTAAATTGTAAAAATTCGTTCATAAGGCATCTCATTAACCTGGAATACAAACTCTTTTCATCCAGAGATATTTCACGAAAATGTACTTACGCAGTTATTACGGGACTCAACGTCAACAAAATACGTAGCTTTGTTTCTTTGTCTCGGAGAATTATACTAAATTGCATACTATGCGGTATGTTACATGCGGCCAGGTCGGCTCTAGGGCCACAACTCATTATAACGACAATATTATGTAAGACATTCTGCAATGCTGAATTCTGTTCGCAAGGTTACGGCTTCCAATGTCGTTCACGAGAAAACGAATGCACGAACAGAACCGCAGGCAATCATCAAACGCTAACAGATGCTTCACCGATGTGCACGCAACGACGAAACTGAACGCTTTCTTGAACGCTGACAACATACGAGAATTTTACTCGTGAATCAAATTTCAGCGTCTCCACCTGTACAACTCTCACAAACCAAACTATATATTTTAAAATTAAACTACTATAAATTAATAATTTCAAATGATGTGGAAGAAAGCGGTCTCTGACCGACCCAACAGTCGTAAAAAGTACAGATTATGAAGCATCTCGCTATACAATTTTCTCATATCTCCCATTATAATGCAGACGGCAGCCTTATCGGCTGTTACCCCGCCATGGTCTGAGATCACAATGTGTACTCCATCGCCGCAAAAACCTCAAATCCTGTATCCCTCATTGGGTCTTTAAACTCGATCGAATCCAGAGGGTGGCGTGACACGAAACAATAATGCACCCCCCGGGGTCGTTAGGGTGAAAATCAGACCAAATTCAATTCAACTTTACTTCGTAAAACTGACATTGATAACAAACTGCTTCTGTTTAATACCAGCCTGTGATGCGATAAATTTATGAAACACTGACGCAAAGTCGCTGCTCTGAAAGCCAAGAGACGCCACTGACCAGTGCTCTAAATAAAATGAAAAAAACAAAACATGATGGATGTTACTTCATTGTTATACATGCACGTGACTCGGTTCAAGGCTGCGCTGTCTGTTAGCAGTGGGCTATACTCAGAAAGCTTCAGTTCCCATATTAAAAACACGCAAATGTTCGTCCATGGTGTATCAGAAAAAAATTTAATGCAAAATACTGGCTAATCCGTTTCTTCCAAAAGCTGCCAACGTCTGACACCAGTCCCCTTTCTAAAGAAAGTGAATAAGAGTTGGAAAATTCAACCACAAATACGAGGAGAAACATGGATCTTCCAACGGAAAAGACATGCCAAGCGTCCATCTGCCACAAAGTCTGAAAAACGCAAACGGACAGCTTTCTCACGTACAAACTACACAAAATGACATTTAAACCTGAGAACCTTACCTACAGACTCCTTACAAAAACTGTCCTTCAAAAGTAATACACGTACTTAAAATAAGTCGAAAAATTTCTAATACAGACTTAATGATTCTGTCCCACACCACCACGCCATGGAGTTATCGAATTTGCCAAACTAGGAGGCAATTCGGGTTCCTACGGCGACAACTATGAGTGGTAGCCCTGATGATGGGGGCAGTGAGAACCTCTGTAACGCCAGTCTACTTCTACCACACTACATGACACATCTAAAAAAACGCCATCTTCAT